CCTTCCACATTACACAAACAAGTCTTGGATGAATTACATGCTGGTCATATGGGCATGACAAAAATGAAATTGCTAGCTAGAAGCTACTGTTATTGGAGAAATATGGATCAGTTAATTGAAGCTATGGTGAAACATTGTCATTCATGTCAACAAAAATTGAAAAATCCACCTAAGGAGACAACTCACCCATGGGAGCTCCCAAACGGACCTTGGGAACGCATACATATTGATTTTGCAGGTCCACTACGGGGTTGGTGGTACTTAATCGTCGTTGACGCTTACAGTAAGTGGGTAGAAATTATACCAAAAAAATCTACAACCACAGCTTGGTGTGTTAATTAAGCAATTGGATAGTTTATTTACAACCTTCGGGTTTCCTCATGTCCTGGTATCAGACAATGGAACTCAGCTAACTTCAAAGCCCTTCAAAGATTTTCTCACAAGGTATGGAATAATACAAAAAACCATAGCTCCATTTTGTCTGAAGTCAAATGGACAAGCTGAGAGGGGTGGTTCAAACTGTAAAGAGCCTTTTAATTTTGCAAACGGATGTGTCAAGATCAAGTTAAATACTATATTAAAACAGTTGAGAAAAACACAACATTCTACTACTGGGAAATCTCCTTATAGTCTCATGTTTGGGAGGAATATAAGAACTGAACTAGATCTATTAGTAGAAAACCCTATTTTGAAAGAGACAGAGATACAAGTGACAAAGAGACACTTTACTGTAGGGGAAGGAGTGCTGGTGAGGGACTACTCTCTTACTTCAAATAAAAAATGGACGGTTGGGAAAATTGAGAAACAAATGGGAAATTTTATCTACCTTGTTAGAACGGAAGACGGATGTATATGGAAAAGACATGTGGACCAAATTAGAAAATTGTAAATATATAAAGAAAACTAAAGCAGGAGGATTGCTATACCAGCTGATCAGCTGGTGTTTATTTTCTAGTGTTTTTGTTTATGTTTGGATTTTACAGTTTAGTTTTCTGTTTACACCTTTAATAAAATGAGTTACTTTAATTATCTATTCTTTTATTAAAACACACCACCGAGCATCCCCTATATTTCCCTATTTGGGGGTGGAGGATGAATTTCAAAATACCACCAAATTATTAATACTTTCCATTACCTTAGTAACGTGTATAAACGCTCGTTTGAATATATGCAGCCGTTCAAATTACACGGGGGGAGTTATTCCCCCGTTATAGGGGTTATCGGGGTTAGAGGTTATCGGGGACACCCCCCGATATAAGTCTGAACAGCTAGTTTACACGCATAAAGACAAACTCTGGTAGGTAGTTTAAATGTAAAAAATCATATTTTAAACAAATGACAGCTTATTTTTAATCCAATTAGGCCTACAGTATACAATTAAAATCTGATAATTTAACAAGTAAAACAGCAATATCGTCAATGTGAAAAGCCTTGAAGTGAGATTGGTGGCCGATTCACATAATGGTTATTAAGTAGGCTACAGTAGCTATCCACCAGCTTCCATTGCATAGTATCATTGACTCACTGAAACCTTAAGAGGTTTCAGGCCTCATATTCTCTTCTGTTACCTTCTTCTTCTAATGTAGATCCAGAGTCTGGAGATGTCTCTCATTACTGGGTCTTTCAACTTCATTCTTGTCCTTCCAAGTGGTCGTCTACCCTACCTCTATGGCATAGATAAAACATACTTTCTTGTGTTGGTTACAGGGCCGCCGAGAAGGGAGGTGCAAAGGGGGCAAATGCTCAGAGGCCCAGCCCAGGGCTGAAAATTCCAAGTTTTTTTTTTTGTAAAAAAAATGATTTCAAAAGAACGAAACGAACAATATGAAAATAAAATATTATTTGAATATAAAACGAAAATGTCTTAAACTGTCTGTGTCCACGTAAATGTTGGGAATCTACACTACACTGCATGACTAATACAGCATGTTGTGATTATTCAAATCTACAAAACAGTTGCCGGGTAACAGCTAGTCTAGCTAGATTAGTCGGTTGATAAGCGTCTAGACTGCCAGTGCAACTCCGAGGAACGAGGATCAGATCGGAAAACCCCCCACCATTGCTCCGTGCCGATGGCGTGACGTCAACCATTACCGCAACGATACGGAGCTGAGTCATGAGCCTTGGTGGTGTAGTGGATAGCGTGTCGGGCTGATAATCGGAAGGTGCCGGGTTCGAATCCCACTGATAGTACTAACTTTTTGTCAACAATTTTTTTTCATAACAGCAAGTTTGGTTAATTTGGTTAGGTTATGACAGGTTAATTTTACAATTTAAAAATTATAAAATTGAATTTGAGACATTTATTTTATAATTTTATTTTTAGAACAGAACTATTTTTTCGATTAGTAAACCTTCATCCGAGTTTTTCATCATCAGCAAGTTTGGTTAGTTTGGTTAGGTTATGACAGTTTAATTATATTTAATTTAAATTTAACCTACAAATGATACGTTTTTACAGCAACAGTGATAGAGATAACAATTTTAGCGCCTCTGATCCTCGTTCCTCGGAGTTGCACTGACAGTCTAGACGCTAGTAGTCGGTTGTTCTCCCGGATATGATTGAAACTACTATACTACTCGGTCCCAAACTCAAGTCTTACCATGAAATTCGCTAAAAGAAAGAATAAAAGAATTCACTCCCTGTTATTTGGACAAATAATGTGTTCCAGCTAAATTACAACAAAATCCAGTTAATTAATTTTTGAAATTATGGGCCCTCTTATTTTATGACAAGAGGTTAATATAGTACAAGATGCATGGAGTAAAAGAGGTGGGCCAGACAGAGCGCGCCCATCGGACTGAGGCAGTGACGTCACTATGCAGTCCTCGAGCCGCTACTCACAGCCCGTACACAACACTTTTAGATGTTGTTTTGCGCTGTTTACGCCAGTTTGTACTACGCAATTGTTAAAATTGGTTTTGCTTGGTTTTAAATATAATAATATGTTATTCCTTATTATATTACTACTCAAATATTAGAGCAATTGTTGATTAAATTGATGCCCATTTCTGCAATTGTTGTTATATCACTAAGGATCTACTCTGATCCGGTAAATAGCATCTAATTGTATGATCTATATATTTTTAGGATAGCCTACTTAACTACAGTTGTTCATGAATATATTAGTAACTAAATTAGATACCCTTAACATTTTTCAAATTATTATTTAAATCAAACAAACATTTTTCACTATACAGATATACAAAATAAAAGTAGCTTTTGGTAATGTACAATCATCATTAGATTAGTGTAATTAGGAATGGAGATTTATATTTTTATGAATGGAAAGAAAACACATTTGAAATAAAAACACTTTATTTACAAAGTGTATCTCTCACCATTGGACATGCAATCAGATATAAACACATTGAGTTGTAGAGTTCTTGAAATCTTTTACTTACTCTTAAATTTAGTACTGACGATGACGTTTCTTAGTTGATTGTTTTTGATTTTTTGTTGCTGTTCATTTGTTTTTGCCTGATTAAAAAAACTTCAATATCATTAGACTCTACTATTCTTCTTTGAGCAAATAGCTCAAGACGGTCTAGAGGTAAACGATGAACTTTATGGCGTAATGGCTTAATGTTTTTACTTTCTTAACAGGGTCATTTATTCATATCAAAGCATTTTAAATAGGCCTAGGTAAAATACCTATTTAATTTTCGATTTTAAAAATTCCTTTTCCAAACTCTCAATTTTCATTTAGCCTACATTGTGGTGTTTTATTATTACAACATAGCTTGCACAACTTTTTTGTTTCCCCGGTAAAGTTTTCTCAATTTTCGTTTTGTAGAACATTCCTCCGCATCACTACGATAATACTGTGTTCAGTAGACACAAGTTTCATTCAGGGCTCACGAATGTTTAACATTCCCCAAGCTCAATAATCATGAAATTAATTCCTTTAAACATCTTCAAAATAAACAAATATAAAAATGATTGAAATCCAAAAATCGTTTCTTTTGCACATTTCAATAAAGACAAAGCCTATTTTGTTTGCGAATAAAATATGACTCTTATGTCGGATTGAGTTTTAGTTTTAAAATAGGTAACTGTCATTATATATATAGCTAGCATTTTTTATCTCAGAAAGTAAACTCGTATAAAAACACCGAACAACGTGCACTTACATAAAAGAGAAAAATCCTCTTAAAACGAAAATAATAAAGTCTAAAATGAAACATATGTTTATACATACGGAATTAATATTTTTCTTTAAAAGTACCTGTGAAACAAGCTTTCCTCGGGGAAAATCATTAGTATTCTCTGAGCGTATTCTTTGGTCAATGCCATTTATCCAAACAGATTTTTGTGGTCTATTTAATTCCTGTAAAATAGTAATACAGTATCGTAGTTGACTTTGATTTGTAAGCAACATTTATGATTCCCATGTAAACTATTAAATAATTGGTTGTTGTTTTTTTTTTTATCAACAAACCCAAATAAGTTTATCATTAAAAAGGAAAAAAAAGAAATAAAACATGAAAAAGGATGGCGTTTCATTTATAACTAACACCAAAAAGCAGTTGAAGTAACTTTTAAACAGGCAACTTTTTTACCTAGTGCTAAAAGATATTTTTTATTAACTGACCTGAAAAAGGGGAGTGTTATATCTTAGTCTAAAATGATTCTTAAGTGTAATATTATTCCAACTGAATCGGTAGACGCCTGCATTTCATCACTTTCTATGCAACATTCAGGCCTAATTGGTTATTTACTATTGTCAAACTGTTCACAATTCATGTTTAGTTCAAAATAATAAAAATCATTATTTAGTACACAAAGATATTTGTGTCATAACGGTAAATACCTCCTCCAAACCAGCGTAAATCGTGTCTGAAAAAGTAAGGTTTGTGCGTTTAGCATGTATCTAGCGGGGAAGCAGCCGCGGCCGGGACTGCAGTGACGTCATCGCGCGCAGTCCGCTCTGTCTGGCCCACCTCCTTTACTCCATACATCTTGAATATAGTTAGAATAATAGGTAGCTTATACTGTATTATAGGTTTGCACTTGTTTTAATCAATAATTTCTTTGACCTTTATTTTAGAATTCACAAAAAATCAATGCACAAAAAGTAACTATTTGGCAGGTTTTATATCAGCAGTATTTCCATTACTGGGTACTATTATTAGAAGTTTTTCCATCAACTGCATTTAGTTTCGGCTTTAGGTGGTCAATTGTTTGTTCCTCCAAAGCAGCTTTTAGAGTTAAATCATACTTCTTTTCCTTTGTCTTTTCAATATCATTTAGAAGATTTTTGTAGCTGCTCTTCAATTTTTTCCTGCTATTTTTATCATACACAGTTTCATCCTGCCTTTGTAGTTTTAGCTGTTCGAGTTTAGTTGTTGCCAGTTCAAGGTCCATTTTCATTCTCATCAGGGTTTTCTCTGCTTTGTGCACTTTCTCACTAATCTGTTTCTTCATCTTGTTGGCAGTATTAGTGACAACATTGTCAGGCAACCCTCCAACATCACTCACATGCTGTTTCAGTTTATCAACTTTGGTTTTCGCCACTGCAGCATCAACCGTCAGATATTCTTTCTTTTCTTTAGTTTTTACAATATCACTTAAAAGATTCTGTTGCCATCTGGTAAGTTTAACAGGAGCAATAGAGATGTCTATTTCTTCAGCTTCCTTTTGACTTTGCAGTTCTTCAAGTTTTTTGGTTGCTAAAGCAAGTTCCAGATTAACTTTGGCTTGGTCTAAAAGAGCTTTGCTTAGCTTATTTGATCTATCCTTGATTTGACTCTCACTTCTAGTAGAATCTTCATTTAAAGCAGACAGTTTTTCAGCTAAAGCATTTGCAACTCCAGCTCTGACAGACAGGTCTTCTTTTCTCTTTTTTGTTTTTGCAATATCCTTCAAAAGTTTTACCTGCCAACTACTGAGTTTATCATAAGCAGTATTATCATCAATGGTTTCAGCTTCTCTCAATTTCTCAAGTTCTTCAAGTCGAGTTGTTTCTGAAGCAAGTTCCAAATCTAACCTTTGTTGTTGATCTACAGCTTTTCTGAATTTGTCGATTTTACTCTTTAAAAACCCAAACCATCTCTTGTTGATTCCAGCTTGTGGTGTTTCCTCACTTGACAGAGAATTTTCTAGAGCATGTTTATATGTATTTGATTCTTTATCATCTAGCTTTCCACCCTGAAAAGTGAAAACATTGAGCACGTGTTAGAAATATTATTTTTTATTAGTGTTTCAACAGACAAAGGTCAAATTAAGTCTAATAGACAGACATAATCTATTAAGTGAACTAGAGTAGCATATAATTTGTATAAGCTAATGTCCACACAAAGAATAGCATATATTGTCGAGTTCTCTCACTCTTTTCTTTTGTCTGTGATTGTAACCAGTTATTGAGCTAATGAGCTATGGGACCATAATCAGTAAATAACCAGTATAACTATATTTTTTAAATTGAACCACTACAAAACAGAGATTGTTGATGTAAAGTTTTATGATCTCCAATATGTTTTAACATTCAGGTCCAAATAACTAATGTGACTGAAAAATAGTTTTAGTTGATTATCGTTAATCCTTTTATGCTGGGCATGTTAAATCATTTGGTAAGAAGATACCAGTAATAAAAGCACCGGTAATTAGTTGTCAACTTCATAACTAGTAAACAGTAATAACATGTAGTAGTGCGCTAATTTTTCAAGAACAGATACCTATGTGTCACTTTAAAGCAACATTTACACGAGGCCAATGCCAATTGAGCAGGAAGGTCATGGGTCAGGTTACATGCCTCTAGTGTATTTCAAGTTACCTGAGGCAGGTAACCTGCCCGCCAACTGGCTTTGGGTAAACACACTTTAAGAGATGGGGACCTGTTCTTCGTAAGGGGTTGACGTATAAATGTAAAATGCTTATTGCAGTTATACTCATGCTTTGCAATTGCAATGGGAGAGGACACGGTTTGAGAAAATTTGGTTCTTTTAATTTACTGTATGCTAAAGTATAACACATCTACCATAGCCATAATTTTGTACTACTGCACCTAAACAATAGAAACAGGTAAATTATCAAATATTTGCACAATATCACCAATTATTTATAATAAATATTTCTCATTTAGTCCAAGCAAACCACAAAAACAGACACAGGGGTCGTTAAAAAAATTTCAAGAAAAAGGTTTATGGTTTTACAGTATTTTGTAGTGTTGGGTGTGCAGAATTACATACTAAAAGTTTCCAAATATTGGTCCAAGGAAAACCCCGAAAATCACGATAAAAATGGCGGTTTTTCCCAACATTGGACGAATTTAGAAAAAGATATACATACACATACACTTTTATAGACATTTTTCAAAAATTTGACTTGGGACCACCCCAGATATTTGTTAGGTGGTTAGTACTTCATTTAAAATAGGGAACACGTTTTAGGCCACCATCTTAAGCCCCCCATACACTATCCAACATGTTGGACGGACATGTCGGGATCCGACGTCTTGTCGAACATATTGGACAGTGTGTGGGTTCCGACCCGACATGCTCGACGGATATGTCAGGTCGGATGCTCGGTCCGATAGCACCACCCGACTCGAGCCGTCCGCCTGACATTGGAGCCACAGTTTCCAGTAAACTTGTATTTACCCACATAGCACAGAATATTTATTTGATATCAAATAAACGTTCAATATATCAAACTATGTCAAATCAAAAATTTGATATTTATTTGATATTCATTTAATGTTCAAAATGTCAAAGTCAAACAATGTCAAACTTTGAATATTTATTGTATCTTCAAAATATCAAAGTCAAATAACATCAAATTTAGAATATTATCTAAATATTCTTAATGTTAAAAATTTGATTTTCTCTTTGAAAATTGCCAAATATACTAGTTTTAAAAATTTTTAGATTTAACTTTTTAAATTTTTTAGAGTAAAGAATTAGTCTCCAGCCTACAGGGGCCCATTTCATAATAAACTACAAGTTACAACTTGTAACTTGTTATTTCCATTAGATTTGCATTGGGCAATCAGCTGATTTACTAATAATATTAGTTTGTACTTTATTATGAAATGGGCCCCAGTTTGTAACATGGAGGTCGGAGGTCAATTATCTCAAAATAATTAATAATAGGAAGGAACACTGAACACTGTAATTTTTAATTAATTGATGATGGATTTTGACTTTTCGCGGGGGGGGGGAGTTGTTGGAACATCTGATATTTTTCTGAATCTAGGCTTACTACACATTTCAAGAAAAGTGAATAGGAAACACAGCTTTTTTTAAAGTTTTGTTTATTAATAAAAAAGTCAAACTCTTAACGATTGGCCTTATCATTTTATTTTTACTAGTAAATTAAACCAAACGTAAATTTAAATTTTTTTAAGTGTAACTAAAAATATGTTAAGTATCTAGTTTGAGCTTGACTTGGCCCATTCGTATGAAAGGAAGAGAGGAAGACTGAAGACAAAACACCAACTGACCAACTTAATTCTAACCTAACTCAGCAAACAAAACAAAACTACAATACAAAACAAATTACAAAATCCGTCGCGCGACCAGTGGTGGCCAGTTTACTCACGGTGTGGATTTATTTATTTATTAACCAACAAATTGCCCATTTTGAGGGAAAGTACACGATTTATGTAAAATGTACCTAAGTTATGACAACTAACTTGTTGAGTAGGCTACACAAGTAGTGAAAATAAACTATGGAAGCAACAAGAGTATCAAGATTCAAGAACAAGACATAACCTCAAATCAGTTAACTTAAGTGTGCTGATATTTGTTTAGTGTGTCACTATTAGTTTAGAGTTGTTATTTTTGTGACTGGGTATTTGCATAACCTACACCGAACATCTTTTCACGTTTTGATCCTTGGAGTATGTAAGTATAAGTCACTATACCTAGTAACATAGACGTATTTTAGGCCTTGGCCTTACCTAGACCTAAGTTAAGCTACTGTACAAATTAAATTGGCCAACTTATCATTCCTAATGCCTTAACTTAAGTATAAATAGATAAATCTGAAACCTCAAAATAGGCAATCTGTTTTAGAGGAAGTATTTTTCTGCATACTAATTAGGCCTAGGCGTAAGCTACTAAGTTAGGCGGCTTGCTTAAGCTTCAAAGGGCAACTTCCGGATGAAAATAGTGTTCAATATATAGTCTAGTAAGTAGGACTAACTTACTGGTTTACAAGGCAAATGGAATACCATACTGTGTTGTAATACCTTGTTAGGCTAATTTTGAAATATTACTAAGTTATGTGGGTTATATTACGTCAGTCACTAACTTAAGTTTATGTAAATTCACCATCAAGAATAAGTTAACTTAATTTAGGCTAGCCTAGGCCTAACATATTCTACCTCAACCAGGTTACAATTTACCGGTATTATAAAAGAAATAGCCTAGCCTATTTGAAATCCATTTTCCTTTTAAACTGAATTGGGGTACACTTCCGTATCTGTTGTCAAAAACAACTGAATGAACATAGGCTATAACGATCGATATTTTCATTCGGTTGTTTTTGACAACAGATACGAAAGTCTACCCCTGTATTGTCTCTTAGTCTTTTGTATTTTAGTTGTTGTCTGCTTCCTTTACCAACCAATGATAAGGCCTAACTAATCTTGATACATATTTAGGCCAGAGAAAGGTATGCATGAATTTAACTAAAAGTAGTTTTCTCTCCATTGTTTCAGTTGATAACCCTGCAGCTTTGGTGGAAGTTATTATTTGGTAGCAGTGAATAATTTGCCTATGGTACCAATTCTCCCGAGTGACAAAGTGGCTGTCTAGCAGCCTGTAGGCTGGGAAGGAGGAATAAATTTTTCTTTTGCAATCTGCATCTGAAGCCAGCTATCTTGCGTAAGTTTTTTTTTTATTTACAATCAGACATTAATAATAGGTAGACATACATATATTTCAATTAGGTTTTCTCAAAGTTAAAATAAGTTAAAATAAAGTTTCAATCTTAGGTGTTTTTATTTCAATTTTTCTGTTTGATTCGCCATGACTGTGTATGTCTTTTTTGCCATAACGGGTACAGTTCCGCAGAGAACCTGCGATATATTATCGGATAAATAACATTATATATCAATAATTATCCGATTCAATACATCGTTCCCTATGTTTTTTCACTATGTAAACATCAAATTGAGTTATGATTTGCAGATTTGGTGAATTGGTTTTGCAATATTAATATCAAATCAGATATATATACCGTCCGATAATATATCGTAGGTTCTCTTAGGAACTGTAGATAAGTTAGGCTCTACCACCAAAACACAACCTAATTCATGATAGGTACCTATTGGGTAATAACGTAGCCTAAGGTTCATCACACAGTTAAGAGAGTTTCTCTTTTTTGTGACCCACTTATATAGGAAGTCTTTGATTTACACTATATAAATATTCCGGCAGTGCTAACTTGTGTAAAAGAAAACTGTATTAGTTGAATTTTTTTAAACGCACACATAGGCCTATACACACACCAAAATACATCCGACCGTTGCACTCATTTCAGTCAGTGCTCACCCCAATATTTGTCCGTTCAAGTGACTGAGGATTACTTTTACCACTACCTAGGTCAAAATTTTCAATTTTCAGATTTAGATTTAGCTTTAACAAGGCTACTCAAAAAAAGCAAATGCCATCAAAATATAAAATAGATTTCACTAACAATTTAATATGTGTACCTAGTTGTAGGCTATCCTGGGTGTTGATCAGGAAAATTAAAATATATACAAATTCTAGTGCTAATACTAATCTCTTTTATACAGAGGCAGAACCGGTACGCAAGAACACTAGGATCGTGGTGTAATGGAAATATATGTTGTTGCTACTATAATCAAGAATTGGCTTCGCCCAGCAAAGTTTAGGATTGATGCAAGGTAAATTTATTGTGTTATTTATAATTTAGGTTAAAGAAAAGATTGCTTATCTAATTACCTAATATAGAACTTAAATTTTATTATAATTAACAGATTAGGCCGACATCTAACTACTGTGATGTTTTCTTTTCAAATTGTGAATTTTCAGTGACAGGCTATGCAAATGAGCAAAACTTAATCTGCGGTTTTATCCATCTCTTTTTTCTTTATTGTCAAGAACTCAATGCCTTATCGACAAATTTAATTATAAAGTACAGGTATAGTAAAAAAATAGGTCTTAAAAATGCCTAACGAA